ATAATAATATATATTTTAATTAATTATATAATTATATATATATATATATATATATATATATATATATATATATATATATATATATATATATATATATATATATATATATATATATATATATATATATATATATATATATATATATATATATATATATATATATATATATATATATATATATATATATATATATATATATATATATATATATATATATATATATATATATATATATATATATATATATATATATATATATATATATATATATATATATATATATATATATATATATATATATATATATATATATATATATATATATATATATATATATATATATATATATATATATATATATATATATATATATATATATATATATATATATATATATATATATATATATATATATATATATATATATATATATATATATATATATATATATATATATATATATATATATATATATATATATATATATATATATATATATATATATATATATATATATATATATATATATATATATATATATATATATATATATATATATATATATATATATATATATATATATATATATATATATATATATATATATATATATATATATATATATATATATATATATATATATATATATATATATATATATATATATATATATATATATATATATATATATATATATATATATATATATATATATATATATATATATATATATATATATATATATATATATATATATATATATATATATATATATATATATATATATATATATATATATATATATATATATATATATATATATATATATATATATATATATATATATATATATATATATATATATATATATATATATATATATATATATATATATATATATATATATATATATATATATATATATATATATATATATATATATATATATATATATATATATATATATATATATATATATATATATATATATATATATATATATATATATATATATATATATATATATATATATATATATATATATATATATATATATATATATATATATATATATATATATATATATATATATATATATATATATATATATATATATATATATATATATATATATATATATATATATATATATATATATATATTTTAATATATAATATAATAATATATAATAATATATATTTTAATTAATTATATAATTATATATATATAATTATATATTCTATATATAAGAAAGCTTATCAAAAAGATTTTCGTAGAAACATTTTTATGACATCAAAAATTAGAAAAATTGGATTGATAGGTCTAGTATTAAAATGATGGATCAGGATAATTATTAAGACCGAAGAAGTGCTAATCGACGCGGTCGTAAAAGAGATCGTAGAACAGTGGTTAAAAGCGAGCAGGAATTTGGCGTAGTATAAGAATTCAAATGATCGAATAACATCGATATGCTACTCTCTGAACTTATTAAAATGATCGGAGAGGAAACGAAAGAGAGATTCGCGGTCTAATTACAGCCGGTAATCAGAAAACGAGAAAAATTCGCGAGGGAAGTTTGGACAGAACGGAAAAGCCCGTGACACGAAAACGGAAGAAGAGCAGCGGCTGTACAATGATATTGCTGGCATGGAGCATTATTAATTTTACGGGAGACAGATCCAATACCGGCAGCGCGGTTCATATTATATGTATACATAATCACGAAACTATTCTGACGGAATTCGTCGGATTTAATGTTCTGAAGCGACGTCGCGCCGCGCGGTGGAGCCGTTTTTCCGCAAGCGTCCGCAATCGACTCGCAGCCAGCAAGGCCATCCGTCCAGAACAACGCTTGAATTAAAGCAAATCGGATAACGTCACCAAGTCATGTAGACTTTGAAATAATGTGTCTCCCCGGACTGCCATTAATGCTCCCGTGCAAAAGCTGCTTTGCCGTTTGTGTTCCAGTTTTCACTCAACGCATTAGTTATCTGGTGCCCGACGCCGCGCGTATGTATTTGATTCATCGCTTTCAACTTTGCAAGCACCGTGTCATTTTGTGGACCGCGTTAACCGTCGCCGAACTAACGGCGATAATTGCCAAAATTGGGAGAAGATTATCTTCACATATATAAATAATAAATTAATATAGTTATTTATGTACGATCATATATTTCAACTATACGGCTTTGATTTATATTAATTATCTTGCACGCGTTCGCATGAACGAGCTAAATTTTCAGCTATTAGATCAATACTCTAAATATGGATAGTAACGTCTTTCATGTAAGTAATACATATTATTATGTAATAATAATAACTATATAATAATTATATATTTTATATATATATATATATTATATGTTATTATATTATAATTATATTATTATTATTATATTATAATAATAATAACTATATTAGTGGTAAGTATATATATAAGTAATAAGTATATTATTATATAATAATTTTTTGATATAATAAACTATATGATTTTTAATCAGTGTTAGTATACTTATTAATTGAAATTAATCCTATATAAATTCAAATTTTAAACGCTTATTATTACATATCAAATATTTACATTAAATAAAATTTTAAAAATTATAATTTAATATAATAGAAAAGATTATCGAAGAAATTTCTATGAAATAAAATTCATAATACGTTCATATACACGTACAGAGTCCTCTCTCCCCATAACGTGCCAGTCTACTCTGCTGTAATGAAGATCTAAGCGTGTTAGCGTTTCAAATCCGCAAACACGATAATGCTGGTATAATATATGTATGCGTGAAATATGTGATTAAGTGGCGGCAAGTGAGTCGGTTTCCTGAAGGTACGTTCGCAGACACGTTACGTAAAGATTATGCCGGTACCTTCGAGAGTTTACTAACACGACCGCAATTTGCATAGATCGATAACTTGAAATTACTTGCGCGCGAAATGATAAACCCTCCGACGCCTGGCGTAAGCTCTGCCGCAAAGATTCCGCCTTAACCACTCGTATAAACAGCCTTTCGAACAAGAAACTGTAATTGACGGAATTCAAGGTATACCGGGCTTCGAAATGTCAATAAAACTCAACGTTACTGAATAATTCATGAAGCCTGTTCTAAACTATTTACAAAGTAACGTCTTATTATTTGACAAGGAGGTACAGTCTGTCGCAAGAGTCTACCGGCGCCCATCAAATTTTAAATTCGTTCAAGACGCCCGCACGGGCTCGCGAAAGTAATCGAACGCCTCTTTTAAAGTTCGATAGAACGACTTGAATTTCTTTGAGATATTAGTTACTCGATTGCAATTTTAATGTTTCTAATTTATGTCTCTACTGCGCTAAATTGCATCTCTACTCGTTTTTAATTACTATTAACACTAGAACGGCCGAGCCCTAAATGCAACTAATGTATATTGGTTCATAACAATGACAATTTTCTATTAAAATATATAGTTGATTAAGAAAGCTTATCAAAAAGATTTTCGTAGAAACATTTTTATAACAAAAAAATTAATAAAACTCAGGAACCAGTCATTTTGACTGGATTGATATATAGGTCTAGTGATGGATAATTATTAAGGATAATTATTAAGACCGAAGAAGAGCTAATCGACGCGGTAAAAGAGATCGTATCTAATCCGTCCAACATCTCAAGAAATTACAAGTCGAATTTGAAGAAGGTTATTCCGTCTCGAAAAGTGTTCAATTCGTTTCGTGTTTCGAATCGACGAGCTTCTATTAAAACGATGCATTTCTGGCTCTGCGACTGACTGTACATATTTGCATTACGAATACATGTGTATGTGTTTAAAATATAGGAAACACTGCGACACATTTATACATAGTTTTGGGTATTTAAAGACGTCATTGGAATCCAAAGTGTGTTTCAATTTGGCCTGATCAAGATTCAGAATCCCGAGGGCAAATTTTGACGCCCGAAACTCTCGCGCGACACGGGGGGCAGTCAATTTTGTACTCCTGAAAATTGATGTGACTGCTGAGTGACTCGAGAGTCCCCGCAGTATTGATCACGGACTCGTCAAGTTTGATGTTAACAAGCTGCAGCAACTTTGAGATTGCGTAGGTATCGGTAATCACTGGCTTTCGGCATCCTTGACCTGTCTAGTATGGCGGAACTTCGAAGTTACAACAGAGATTCTCAATGCATCCAATGTTTACAAGGCTACCAGCGTCTTCGATACCTGAACCGCTCCTTCGATACCTAACGATAAGACGTTCGTGTTTTGTGTACATAAAAGAATTATGTGCGAAATATTCTAAGAGAACAGTTTCTTTTCTTTGGTATTAAATCATGTATTGTATGCAATCATGCATTTTATGCATTAACAATAAGAGTAGAGGAGATTGAAAATAAGTTGAAGATTAAAAGACTATGAATGTCCATATTATATTTTAAACAAATTCAAATTAGTTAAGAATGTCCATGTAACATTTCAAATCAATTAAAATTAGCTGAGAATATCCTTGTATTATCTTGAACCAATTAAAATTATTTAAAGATATCCATATACTATTTTAAACGAATTGAAATTAGTTAAGAATAACTATGTAGTATTTGAAACCAATTAAAAAATTAGTGAAGAATATACTATTATATTATCATATACTATATATCATATACTATATACTATATATCTACTATATACTATATATCATATACTATATATCATATACTATATATCATATACTATATACTATTACACTATCATATACTATTTCAAAAACCGATTCAAATTAGTTAAGAAAAAAACAAAATTCCTATTTGACTTATTGCATCATATTTTGCATGAAAGTAGTAATAAAACGAATTGGACTTGAAAAAATTGGTCGATCAAGGCCTAATTGAACCGTAGCTGATCATCGCCTGTAATAGGAACCTGTATTAATTATTATCGTATCGACAGGAACAGGATATTATTTATTTAAAGGAACAACGCGGCATGAATTATTACTTAGGCAGTATCATTTATCTGAACTGTACCTTGGCTTCGTGAATTCGACAGCATACTACGCACCCTAGAGGTTTTCGATATCTCAACCGGTGATTCCCGCCGGACCCAGCAGAAACTCTTGATGCACACAGACACACAGAGAACTGACACCAAATCTCGTGTGTACACCGTGATTCCGAATAAAGGATACACTGTATTCACCGGAGCAATGCCACGCCGGAATTTTGTACTTGATAACGTCACGTCTTAATATTTCAATGGTTGGCATATTCTATCCTAGAAGATTAAGTTGTCAGTGTCGTGCGCTAATGCCGCATGGCGGCTCGAATTTCACTCTCCAATTACTTTCAGATAACGAGAACGTATACGACGAGCGACGTGCGCCATTCTTGAATCGTAAAATGACAAACTTTCAGGTGATCCGTTGCGGTGTCTTTTTATCATCGTATCGAAACTTATGCGTGTACATGGTGCCTCTTAACTGTGATCCGAAAGTGTCCCCTTTAATCGTGACGAAGCAAGAAGTTTATTTAAGAAAAGATAGGTTACTTTTCTCTCGGTTATCAAAACAACTAAACGAAATTGAAATTACGCATAAAATATTTCTTGCTTTGTCGTAATTGAAGAGGATATTTTCACGCTCAAGAGAGACACCCGGTACGGTTTTACATCGGAAACTTTTTAAATTATTTAACTATAGCACACCGCGACGGTAGGCTTCTCGACGGAGTTTCAAACAAGCGGTCGTTCAAGTTAGCAAAGTTAATCCTGAAGCGAAGAATTCGAACATTCTCTTGAAAGATAATCAATTATTAACAGTTCACAAAACGACGAACTTTCGACTAGAATATCTTTACAAATCAAGAAAGACTCACTGCTAGACTGTGGATTTTATGCATTTATAACGAAACCGAGTGGACTGAAGACGAAACAGTAAATCTAGGAGAAAAATTTAACGATGCTGTTGGAGGTTAATTTAAACCTATTGAAAATGTCACTTAATGTCCACGAATGTGTAATAATTAACAGGATAAATAAGTCAATTAAACTTTTTTAATACACTCGACACAACACTTGTCTTTCTCTCTCAACAGACTATAAGCAACGAGTAGTTCACTCTGTGAACACCAGGTGGCTTGGGCCCAGAGTCGCATAAGGGAAAATTCGCGCGAAATTTAAATGTACAAACTAACAAGAATGAAAATAAATTTCTCTGTAGCTCATGTTCCAATTACCTGTACTTTGCATAAAGACTCGGAGTCTACTCGTTACGTTCGTAACATGTTAGAATCCAAATTAATGCATTTGTGACGAACATGAAAATGTGGAATGCAAAATAATAAAAATAATATCAGCCGTAGACAACTTTTGTTGACCGTCTACGGTTCAACAATTACAAATAATCTACGAAGACCCGTGCAAATGCCCTAAAAATTAACGAAATAAAGAATTTCGAAAGAATTAAATCTCGCGACCGAGAGACCGCGAACGTATAAAGTAGCGTTGTAATTTTGCAAATGATTCTCCGCCGAGTCCACAAACAATATATGTATAATCTCATAATCCCTATTATCACATTTCAAACCTAGAACCTGAACTTTCCGGACCATCAACTCCAAGTTAGCTGTGGGGAGCACTCGGCTTGGAGGGCCGCGTTACACGTACATATACAAAACCTTCCGTTGCTCCAACAATTGTCGAGGTCAACTTTGAAATTGGTATACTTCCGAGGGAAAACACTAACGCGTACGTTGCGTCGCAACGTGCAACAACGACTACGATCTCAAACTCTACGGTTTATATTTTCGAATAAAACTTCATTCGAAACGATTCGTTTCAATTCGAACAAAATTTCATTCGTACGAATACAAATTCATTGGAATACGATTTCTTTGACTCGATATGCTTGAGAAATGATCGAAGAATTTATTCGAATACAATTTCTTTGGCTTGATATGCTTGAGAAATTATCGAAGAATTTATTCGAATCATTATTCGAAAACAATTTCTTTGGCTCGATATGCTTGAGAAATGATCGAAGAATTTATCCGAATCATTATTGGAATACAATTTATTTGGCACGATATGCTTGAGAAATTATCGAAGAATTTATTCGAATCATTATTCGAAAACAATTTCTTTGGCTCGATATGCTTGAGAAATGATCGAAGAATTTATCCGAATCATTATTGGAATACAATTTATTTGGCACGATATGCTTGAGAAATTATCGAAGAATTTATTCGAATCATTATTCGAAAACAATTTCTTTGGCTCGATATGCTTGAGAAATGATCGAAGAATTTATCCGAATCATTATTGGAATACAATTTATTTGGCACGATATGCTTGAGAAATTATCGAAGAATTTATTCGAATCATTATTCGAATACAATTTCTTTGGCTCGATATGCTTGAGAAATGATCGAAGAATTTATTCGAATCATTATTCGAATACAATTTCTTTGGCTCGATATGCTTGAGAAATGATCGAAGAATTTATTCGAATCATTATTCGAATACAATTTCTTTGGCTCGATATGCTTGAGAAATGATCGAAGAATTTATTCGAATCATTATTCGAATAAAACTCAATAAAACTTGAACGACTAGCCGAATGAAATTCTATTCGAAATGTTGCTCGAAACAAATTTCATACAAACAATGAGCAATTCCGGTGCACATGATTCGCAGAGTTCGATTAATTTTAACCGAATCGACGAGCCGAACGGCACGCAGGTGCGGTATTTTTTGGAGCGTATCGTCGCAGTGGATTCCTTCGAATCGCGTGCGGATCCCCTCGACACCGAACAAATTCGGTACTGCCGGGAGGGAAGATCCGTCGCGCAGAAAATGAATCCTACGAAGAAAACAGGCCATGTATTATGTACTGTCGCAATATAATGCATTAGCCGTCGCAGCGTCTATTCTCCCCCAAAACTAAACCTGTTAAAACTTTATCGCGCCGTCTGCCGTCGAAGCAAATCGCGTTTCCCGTTTCGTCATGCTGAAACTGTTCTCCCTTCAAACTCCTCCCCGCAGTCTCGCCATCCGAGCAGTCCATTTTCCCGGGACTGCGTCGGTACTTCTTGAAAGATGTTCAAACGATCTTTGACGATTTAGTCGCACTCTACGGAATGGGGTGGCGGCGGCGGGGGGCGAGGCGAGGCGAGACGATGCGAGGGGTGGATAAAACGGGGGATGGAAGAGGATAGCGGAGGATGGCGGTGGTGAAACGAGTCGAGAGGAGAGGAAAATGCGGGTGGATTCTAAAACGCTTCTCCGGTTTCACTTTAACAAATCGTTCTGTCTCGCGGAAGAATGGATCGTCGTGTATAGAATCGGGAATCGTGTCGAACAACAATGCGTATACATCTCGCGCGTGCACACACATCTTTTGCGGATTTAATGCATGCTGCAGCGAGCCGGTTCTTATAAAATACGAGCGCGCACGATTATGAACGCCGCGCCGCAACGATATCTGTTCGATGGTATCGGTCGTCCTTGCGGCTCTCCGAGCTTTTCGATCATCGAACAAACCGCGACACCGATTCCGTGATAACCGGCGGACGATTTGTTTAAGGTCCGCTTCGTCGCACAGGAACCGGCTCGAGAATTCATTTGGAACGCGTGCTATTTGATCGCAGCTTTTATGCGCAGTGGCTCGCTAAAATGTTCAGACATCGTTTAAAACGGAATGATCTTTTAATGGTTGGAACATGTGATTCGAATCTTTTCGAGATGTTGGATGACGATTAAACAAATTCTGGCAAAGTTTGCAATTTTGTTGGAGTAGGAAAAATAAGAAAAATAGGAAAAATAGGAGAAAGCGTGATGTGTTTCGGTAAGCTTTGAGACAAATGATAAGATCTAAGGGAATAATAATAATTACAGGACCGTAGAATGAAAGTTGTGATCCTTTAAATCTATTGAGAAAGTAGATTGTTAGTTTTAGGTTAAATAGATCCTTAGACGAGGTTTCCATGCAATTTATGAAATTCAATCGTTGAGGAAAGGCTAATTTTGGAGTTTAAGAATGTTCTGCTCAATAAACTAATTTTGGTCATAATTTCGCGGTGATTTGAAATGTCAAGTGCCGAATATCAATTCCGAAAATGCCCGATTATTTGATTAATTACACCGAAAATAGAGAGTTAAAATTTGGGAATCCAAGGGAGGAATCCAAGTTCGTTCAACGTGATACAATAAAATCAAAGAATGTCAAGAGCCGGTTAAAAAATAATGTGTCCGATGTAGAACCGAACGTGCTCATAAAAATGTATATCGTATGATGCTGGAAAATGTGAGAAAGAGTAGCTTAAAACCGAAATTCATGCACGTACACCGGGCGCGCAAACTCCGCCGTTACGGAAAACACATTACTATGTAAATAAAAGCGGGTCAATTTCTCTGAAACGACAAACATCCTGCGACGAATAACACATCACCGATCAAAAATGCTACGGAAAACTTTGAAACCTCGAATCGTAACCCATCGTTGGATGAGCAAACAAGTTCGGCTTATCAACGAGATAAACCCGGCGAATCTTAAGGGTCGAAAGAGACACAACATCGCGCACTTTACAACATGCGACAGGGTTGCTGCTCGCCGTCGAGCATATCACGGGTCTCTTCTTTTGAGATACAGGCTATATGCAACCGGGTTGCAACAGACGTTGAAAATGTCGGCCGGTATCAAGGACGATGGTGGCACACAAGGGACCACGAAGGGAGGAAACGCGTTCGGGACAGACTTTCGAGTACGACGACGCTCGCAAACGGCCCTATCGGACAACTGGCAGTCTGCTACTCGACACGATCCTGCTTGTAAACACGGAAAGCGGAAATTTCCCGTGTAAACACACCTTTAACCTGTGACCGTAAGACGGTAGCACTCGATAAACCACAAACAGGCTAAAATACACAAGCTGATTTACAATGTTTTATATGCGCCGCGCCCCGGTTAAAATAGCTTTCAAATGGTGACCGGGTATATTTATTTGTCAATATTCGTCCTGCTGCTTAAATAATCGGACGCGTTTCTCTAAATCCATAATTTTATACATATTCGATGAAATACATTATACGCATCGTCGTGAACATCCCAAGTGGAATAACTTTTATTTTCTGGCTCTAAGTTAACGTTTCGTTGTAAACAAGTACTTAAATCGGGCCTGCGTTATTCTCGTTTTGTAGTATTAATTTTATCTCTTTATAATTTTTTTAATTTTATTTTACTTCTTCATTTTTTTTGTCGTTCCTTATTTTCGTCATTTCTTTTAATTTGTCGTGTGCACCGAATAAAACAATATTGCGATATAAACGATGCGTTATATGCTTTGCTATAATATAATATAATTTGATAAGACATGTATTTATTAAAATATCTACTCGAATGTTAACTGTAATGTAAAGCATCTTAACTTCTCCAAATCCGATGTACAGAGAGTTTAAACACATTTCAAACATTAACCCTAGAAAGATAACCATATGACAACGTACGTAAAAGATAACCATACGCTTCAGAGGCGCATGCTTTTCTAAGGCGTCAATTTTATACTAACAGTGGATATTTATTTAAGTTAATCTAGTCATTTTAAAGGTTTGGCATTATTGTAAAAATAAAATGCATTTATATTATATTTTTTTATATTTTAAGTAATTTTAAACTTAAATCACTAGACCTCTATGAAAAATTAACAAAAATCAACAGTCTTCGCAGGCGCCTCTGCGACGTAGGTT